ATTCACAGCTCTTATTTCATATAACTACCATTAGTATTTCCCTGCGTGCACATACTGTAAACATTGTAATTTACCTTTTCAGGAGCAGGGTCTTGCTGTTTATTTTTGCAGAAGCAGACAGATGCTATTGGTTCATTTTCTTTTCATGACCCAGGTGCCAGTAGAACAAATGATTCAGACACAGCTCTCAACATATGGTGACGGGAAACTTGCAACCCCCAGAGTCATTTGTGTGTGCTTTGGTCTGGAGTACCGGTTTCTAAATCACAAGCCCTGTTTCCAAATGCAGAGCACACCTATTACTGCTTTTAATCTCAGCATCTTTCTCATTCCCTACTCATTCATTACCTGAACTGAAGGTGAGGCTGAGTACGTGTGTTCCCCTGGTTCTTTGCAAGGTGCTGTAGAAAAGCAATCTCTTTGTACTTCACCTGACAACTTGCAGAAAAGCTTTTTGGAGATTGTGTGTGTAGGAGAGCAAAATAGCAGAGTGGGCAGAGGAGAAAACTTGAAATCTGAATTCGGATAACATCTTAGGTTTATTTCATGGTGACTCTGAGGAGACTGGTTATTTTGTGGAGAGATTCTCTAAAGCCCTTTGTGGATCACCACTTTGTAACAAGAGGGATCTGATTGTGAGCTGAATTCAAGGCTTTTAGATCACAGAAAGAAGCACGTGCTGTTTGTATCTCACACCACAGAGATCCTTACTTTAATAGGCACTGGATGACTAAACATTTTTAAACCATTCAGTCCCTCTGAGAGGAGAAAAATGTAGCTGGCAAATACGTAATACTGATTTTCAGTGTAATCCAGTTATTTAGCCAGACACAAACTTCTGGAATTGTTTGCTGCTGCTTTTAATGAAATATCTACACATAGGAGTCTTTGTAGCAGTAGTTACCAGAAATGCTGGGCACATGTCTGTCTTTTGAGTTTCAGCATGGTTTTGGAATCAAGAGGCCCAAATCATGGATTAGTACCCACCTGTGCTAAGCACAGGAAAAACAACAGATCACAGAGCAGTCTGTACCCTAAAGGGTTTACAATTTGTTGTCTCCTGCTTAGTCACAGAGTAGTAGAAGTTGGAAGAGACCTCTGCAGATCGTCTATTCTAAACTGCTGCTCAAAGTAGGTTGCTCACGGCTGTGTCCAGGCAAGTTTTGGGGATCTCCAAGGAGGGAGACTCCACAAATTCTCCAAGCAGCTTGTTCCAGTGTTCAACCAACCTTAAAGTAAAAGGTTTCCTTTTCTTTAATTAAACTTTATGTATTTCAGTTTGTGCAGATTGCCTCTTGTCCTGTCACTGGGGACTGCTGAGAAGAATTTGGCATCATGTTCTTTCTCCCACACCCATCAGGAATTTATACACATCAATGACACCTCTCTGAGCCATGAATCTCTTAAAAAATGTCAACAGAGCACATTAATTTCTCCTAAATGAGCTCTAAATATGCCAGATGTGGAATATTTTGGGAAGAGTTAAAACTGTCTTCCTAGGTCCTCATTTATTCTTTATATTCCATAGGGTACCTGGTGCTATGAAGATCTTTCACAGCTTTTGCTTTTTTTTTTTTTTTTTTTGTAATGCAGTGTGTGTTTTGTTTTCAGCACAGTGTACTTTTGTACTTTAAGTTTTTCTTCCTTGCTCTTTCACCTTGTAGAGGTGAAACCATAAGGCTTGGTCTTATTCCTCATTCGGTGCAGTCTAGCACTGGCTAGTAAGTTTGTGGGGGAAGCATATAATGATACACTCTTTTCCTCTTTTCCAGAGGAAGTGAACTGGAAACTTCAGTAGTATGTGACTTACTGCTTTGTTAACTTGCTTTCATATTTATGCTATCACTTTCCTCTCACAGATACAGCTCTTACTCAGTGAATAATAAAGCCACATAGACACTGAAGGAATTACAAAATTCTTAAGAAGTGAAAAAGGAAAAGTTTGTAGCAAAGAAAAATGAACAATTTATTCCTCTATCAATACTGTGCAGTTAATTGACAAAAAATTTCTTACGTAATCTAACTTGTTTATGTTTACGTGAAATAATACCTTTTTCACCTACTTTCAGTAGGCTCAAAATCTATTTTCCAAGCCCCTAGCTTCCTGGTAATGTGACATCAGCACAACAGCCCAAGCTGATGATTATGTGAAAAGAAGAATATAATGGGACAAAAGAGTAAGACTGTGGCTTGATCTTTTCCATTGATAAATTTAGAACTTGTAAAAGCCAAAGTAATAGTTGTAGTGATAAAAAGAAATATAATTTTATACTTACCCGCTGTTCTAAGAAACAATGTATAATTATTGTGGGAGGAAGAAAAATACATCTCTCCCCTCACTCCGCTACTTTTTCTCCTTCTCTTTAGTGTTGAAATCATCCGGTTTAATTAAATCACCAACCTATTTCTGCACAAAGGATGACATTTCATTAATGATGTAAGATGTGCATGAGACAGAATTAACCTAATTTTCAAATGGATTTCAATTTGGAAAGGGCAACATGTAAAAATGTATTGTAAATGTGTGGGATGAGCTTGTTGAGCAGCTTTCTGAAGGAGATGGGATTATAAAACGATGAATAATTAGACAACAGTCCCTCTCCAACCTTTGTTTCTAACAGTCTTTTTGTAATCCCAGGAAATTTAGGTATCTGATGACACATATCAGGGATATATTAGAAATAGAATGAAAGAACAGAGTTGTGATGATTGCTAGCAAAATATATATGAATACATATATTTTTTTCTGTAATTTTTAGCTAAATAGTAGCCTTCAGTGGCTTTGTCAAAGTTACCACCACCTTAATCTGTTCTCTTTTTGGAAAAATAAAAGCAACAAAAAGTGAAAAAACAGTCTCCCGAACATCGTTTTGAATTGTCACTTTTGGTAGCACTTTTTCCAGACACTTATTGTCGTGCTTTGTTGAGGTATCAGATGTCATGTCCCTCCTGCATGCAGACCATTGCTTCTCAAATTATGATTTTATCAGAGTAGTTCTGATTAGGCTAGAGCCCAGTTCCCTCTGCTTGCTGTTGCTTTCAACTAGGACTGTGATCTTGCCATCACTGATGTGAATTGACCGAGCACAAAATGTTGTTCCCTACCCTGTAAAAAGTCTGAGATTTGAGAGATGCTGGTCTATTTTCTGTGTCAAGAGTCTTAGCTAAAAATGTATAAGAAGTTAAAATAGTGTATAAGAATACACTCTGTGGAAGTTGGGTATGCTCTTTATAATGTAGCCTAACTTTTTCCATATTTTGTTTAGTTTTGCTTTTTTTCCCCATTCTTCTTTCCTAGCAGTAAATTCAAGAAACATTGACAGCATTTATGGGTAACTGGGAAGGTCTGAAAGAGGCAGTTTTGATCTTAGGTTGTCAGGCAGTATGGTTGTGGCACAGCTCACATTTCAAGAAGCCAGTTTTACCATAAGGAAATATGCCTGTAGAGCTTGAGCTAGAGAGGGTAGTTAGAGTCTGTCCACGTTCACTTCACTTATTTACAAACATATCGAGCCCAACCGGCTGGGGTTTTCACAGCAGATCAGTGGTCATATAGTAAATTGTTCTGTAGATTTTAATAGATTTGCTGAACTGTAAATTGTCTTTTTTCTCACCTTCAAGGAGAGCTGATCATCTGCCTTATCATTCAGACTTACATTCCTGAAGTTTATCTGTATGTATTAGAGGTCCACGCTGTAATGCCAAGTCTTATTACTCTGAATTTAGAAATACCTTTCTAATTTTAACTTTATAATTTATAGGAAAAATGGAGTTTCTGAAGGGGTGGGGTTTTTTTGTGTTTTTTTTGTTGTTGTTTGTTTGTGGGTTTTTTTTGTTGTTGTTGTTTTTAACTTTACAGAGTTGGGGAAAGAAAACTTTACTTTCATTTCTATATTGCCAAAACTTAACTTTTATCAAAACAGTTCTCAAAAATCATTAACCTCTGAGAACAGGGTGCTGGGGAAGAGACAGTGAAGAGGTTTTAAACAGACCACCAAAAAATCTGTTGATTATCTGATAAAATAAATATGCTTTCTAAAAGTGTTGAATGAATATTTTGCAGCTCTTACATATGGCATAAGGGGGGTGAACTAATCCTTGTATTAGGAGACAGATTTTTAGGGGTCAGGATGTGAAGCTTAGAATGAGTGAGCAAATTAAAGTCCCATATTCTTTATTGACACAAAAATGATAATATAGTGGGTTTTGGTAAGATCTGTGTTGAAAATGGTTTTTTGTTGCCTGTGTTGAGAGCAAAGGCTTGAGCTACAAGATCGGTGGTAGTATTTATAATGAAATAAGGGACAGAGGTTCTCACTATTCCAGCTGTCTCTCTTCATTTAACTGTTATTCCTGTCTCAAATGAGCAGACACTGTATAACAACAAGATTTGCAAGGATAAATATCCTGCCCTTCTGCTTAGAACATCAATCTTGACTACTTACTTAGGAATGGGGGGGAGGTAAACTTCTGCAGTAAGTGTGGAAATAGAGAGTGAAAGGTATTTTGGAATTTAAGGTTGATATGAAAGGGGCCTTCTATAGCATTTACACAAAAAAAGTTTGTGTAAGATGAAGTGCATGCTTTTTAGATGGAGTATGGAGAAATAAAAGCTGATTAAAGGAGTGTTGAAAAAATTAGTTTAGCCTTGTTACTGGAGTAAGGAATTATCAGGAGAAATTCAGAATTACTATCCTGTCTATCCTTTGGCCTGGGGAAATGCGTCTCTGTAACAGGAGCAGAGCTGGAAGTTGAGGTCACAGTTCAATCCCAGAGTTCGGGGGCATGGTGGAAAATTTTATTCTGAACTTGACTTATTTCTAAACATTACAAGCTGATGTATTTCTTTCTTTTATAGGTATTCCTTTGATTTTATTTTCTCCCCTCTTGCTCTGGATCTTGTTCACAGTTATGGGGTCGCATTAGCTAGCAGAACGTTGTGTTGGCTTCTGCATGTACTGTGCGTGTACTGTTCTTAATGGACCTTTTATCTCTTTCAGAAAAAGGAATGAAGAAAATGAGCAACATCTATGAATCAGCAGCCAATACTCTGGGAATTTTTAACAGCCCATGCCTGACTAAAGTGGAGCTGCGGGTCGCATGCAAAGGCATATCAGACAGGGATGCCCTCTCAAAACCAGATCCTTGTGTCATCCTTAAAATGCAGTCACATGGCCAGTGGTTTGAGGTGAGTGTTTAATAAATAAAAATTATTCTTCTGATGCTTTAGGGCAGCATAGACAACTGAGGCAAAATTCAAATAGCAAGAACAATAAAGAGAAGAAGCAATTTAAAGCCTGTGACATAATCTTGTGAGAGTGAAGGAAAACTTTCCGTTAACTCTAACGCACTTTGAATCACTCTTGATGACACTTTGAACTTCTCTTTGGAGTCTACACTAAAAATGAAGATGATTAAAGAATGAAGCAGCATAAAACTTTTCCCTTTAGGCCCTCTTGTTTAATAAAAGGTATAAAATAGCAGAGATAATGATAGTGACCATCATGCATTTCAATCTAAAGAAGAAAAAGATTGTGGAAGAGAGAAGTATTTATTACTAGTTGGCAAGGAATTTGGTGACAAAGTAGCTTGTTTTGCAAATTTTGAGCATTACAGTTCGATTCAGTGTTGAAGTCAGTAGCCTAAACTAATGTATTGTCTTATCAATTTGCCTTGTATTGCAAATTGCATGTTTGATTAAAATCCCACTTTGTGTTATTTTACCTGATCTTAGAAACCATTTGATTGATAAATGGAAACAGGGTATCTTAGAGACAGGCAAATTGTGAATAAAGTACATTAGAATGTAATGTAACATTTTAAATGAAATCTTGTTGATTATTTTACTTGAGTGTTTGTGGTTAATCAAGCTACAAGGTGTGAATTATAATGGAAAGTTTGTATGAGAAAATTAGGAATGTATTAAATCCAGTTCATTCTAAGTGAGTATTCATGCCTCTCTTCAACTGTTTCAGCATTCACAATAAGATTGTGTTATCTGTCAAAAAGATAAAAATAATAAGAGCTGTGAGCATATGAAGAAAGCAAAATCCTAAATTAAGGAATTTTTTAATTTATCATTTTCAGCCAAGTTTGTCAGTCTTTGGGGATTTTGATCCAGTTATTACAGTTGTGTGGTTTTGACCTGTGGACCTCTGAAAATTTTCCAGTGCAGGGTCAGCACCAGCACAGCAAAGTTAAGGTTTTTTGCGGATATTCTTCCTCTTTTCTTAGTTCATTGCCTTAAATAGGTCCCTGGTAGAAAACCAGTGGGTAATTAGAAAGAGAACTCTCACGATTGTCCTAATGTTACAAAATCAGTGTCTTCATGTAATTGAAATTTAAGGTGATATGATAGTTAGTCCAAAAAAAGGTAATTCTAGCTAGCCATGTAGAAAGGAGCATTTAGCTGTACTGTATGTAATCACTTAAATAGTAGAAATTAACCAAGCAATGGATTAAAGGTCAAAATAAGTGAAACACCCCTGTTTGGAAAGGCACAAAAGATTTTGGTCTATCCATTTCAGTTCTCTGAATAACTGAGTATATTTCACACAGTTTGTCTGTGGCCAGTTATGATCAGGGTAAGTAGCTTTAAATTACATATTCTTATGTTGTAATGGAGATTCCTTTTATTTGATGTGGGTTTTAATTTGGAAAGTGATTGTCTGAATAGAGTAATTCTTGTAGAACAGATCTGTTCACTGATACGATTCTCATCTTGCATCAGTTGCTCCTACTGTCTAGTGAAAGTCCAGGGTATTCATTTTAATATGAACAAAAAGGTTTTATTAGTTCATGTTCCTATCAGTGCTGCAAAGCTAATACAGCTCTGACATGATGAGCCTTTTCCCATTTTGGCCAGTACATTCTCAACAGAATTTTTAATTAAGTTCCAGCTGCTAAGCTAAATTGAGCAGAGTCACTCAGGTATAGCTGAAGACATAATCAGGCTGGAAGAATCTTCTGCTGATGGCTTGGTGATCCAGCAAGACCTGAGACAGCAGACAGACTAATAATTTTTAAAATAAATCTAGTTACCAGTGAAATGAGCATATCCAACAGAAATCACTAAATGGCAACCCAAAGAAGAGTGGAACTGAAGAGTTTTGCCTCTTTGGATTTAGTGACTTCATGAACTTGTTTTGAATTTCCAGATACCTTAACCCATTGGAGGTAGGATGTCTCCAGAAAGACTGTAGCAAAATCTAGTATTGCTGAAACATGCATACTGATCACATATTCTGGTTGCGTGGAGGATTTATGAACATGGAGCAGTTGGGTTGAAGGTGCCTGAAATACAGGTTGTGGTCTGTATATGATTGCGCTCTTGCAAATAGGTGCTTTTGAAATGTATGGAAGGTACTGAGGACTGACTGCACAGCCCCTGCTGAGCCAGATGCAACTGAAGCTGGTGGGTTTAGGCTGATGGGATTGTATTGTGCATGCAATTAGAGATGCTAGGATGAGAGGATTTCACTCTACAGGTGCAGACAATCCCTGAATCCGTGCATATTTGTCTCTGGGAAAATTTTGATAAAACATGTCAGCCTGTTGCTGAGGAGATTTTTTTTTTTCCAGTTATGCAGTATTCTGTGTGCCTATGTGTTTGTTTGTGTAAATTATGCCACCTGCACATATAAATACAGAATGAAAATATCCATGCTGTTATAGAGTGGGTAGGTGCTGTTTCCAGAGATTGGAAATGGCATATATGTTGGGAGTTTTTGGGGGAGGGGTTTGTTTGGTTTAGGGGTTTTTTTAAATGTGGTGGGTTTTCTGGGTTTTTTTGTTTGGTTGGGTTTGGGGTTTTTTCAGTCACAGAATGGGTGATGTTGGAAAGGACTTCTAGGGGTCATCTGGCCCAACCCCCACTGCTCAAGCTGGGACACCTAGAGCCAGTTGCCCAGGACTGTATTAGACAGTTTTTGAATATTTATAAGGAGGGGGACTTCACAACCTCCCTGGGCAACCTGTGCCAGTGCTTGGTCACTCTCACAGTAATAAAGTATTTCCTGATGTTCTTATGTTTCAACTGGTGCCCGTTGCCTCTGGTCCTGTCACTAGCAACCACTGAAAAGAAGCCTGGCTCTGTCTTTGCACCTTCCCTTCAGGTATTTATATACATTGATCAGATGCTCCCTGAGCACTCCAGGTGTGGCCTCACCCATCCTGAGTATAGAGGAAGGATCACCTCTCTTGATCTGCTGGCAATACTTTGTCTAATGCAGCCCAGGATTCCATGTGCCTTTGCCACAAGGGCACACTGCTGGCTCATGTTCAAGTCTGCATCCACCAGGATCCCCAGGTTCTTTTCAGCAAAGCTGCTTTCCAGCTGGTCGTGACCCTCAGCATGTACTGGTACATGGGGTTATTCCTCTGCAAGGGTAAGGCTCTGCACTTTGCTCTATTGAACTTCATGAGGATTCTGTTAGCTCATTCCTCCAGCTTCTCAATGTTCCCCTGGATGGCAGCACGACCCTCTGGGCATATCAGATGCTCCTTCCAGTTGGTGCCATCTACAAACTTGCTGAGGGTACAGTCTGCCCCACTATCCATCCAGATCATTAATGAGGATGTTAAACAGGACTGGATCCAGTATTGATCCCCGCGGTACACTTCTAGTCACTGGCCTCCAACTAGACTTTGCGTCACTGATGACCAACCTCTGGGTCTAGCCATTCAGCCAGTTTTCAGTCCACCTCACTGTCTTCTCATCCTGCCATACATCAACTTTCCCTCTATGAGGATCTTATGGGAGACTTTATCAAAGGCCTTACTGAAGTCCAGGTAGTTGATATCCACTGCTCTCACCTCATCTACCAAGCCAATAACATCATCATAGGAGTTTGTCAAGTTGGTAAAGCATAACTTCCCCCTTGGACAAGCCATGTTGACTACTCCTGATGATTTTCTCATCCTTAATGTGCCTGGAAATGGTTTCCAGGATTAACTGCTCTATCCCCTTCCGATGAATCGAGGTGAGATGACTGTCCTGTAGTTCCCTGGGTCATTTGATGATATTAGTCCTCAGATGTGAAACCATTAAGAACACATGCAGGACATGGACAAGTTCTCAGAGAAGCCTGGATGTTGTCCCCAGGTCTGGCACAGATATGCTTGCTGGTTTTCTCTTCCTGTCTAGGTAGATATTTCCCTCTAAACAAACCTGTATGTGCATACATACCTCCCCCCTCATATTTCTCTGTGTATGTATGTTGATTCTATCTGAAAAGCACTATCTCCACTAATCCAGAATTAAAATAATATATTGTGTCTCCCAGGAAAATCGACAGTTTACTCTTTCTCTCACATGGAATTTGTATTTTTATCCTGAGATGACACGGTGTGATATAGCAGAATTTAAGATGATCCTATCCATATATACTAGAAGACAATTTGCTGATCCAGGGCTGAATTTTAGCTCTTCTGGCCTTAGTTTTAGGCAGGTACACTTTCAGGGTGACCAAATGTTGTACTACTTAAACTGTTTAAGATAATAATTTGATGGCTGCTTTTCCATATTGATTTGAATGTATTCAATTACTGGAACTAAGTTTCAGATGGTGAATTACTGGACTAAGCTTCGGATGGCGAATGGCTGAGTGGGGTAGTAGAATGAGGCAAGGTACATGATGATAAATTCCTTTGCTCCAGTGATTATTTTACCAACATGCAGTGTGAATGTCCTTGTGGAATAAATGTTAATTGTGTATAGCACTGCAGTCTTCAGCTGAGATGCGCTAGCACTTAAATTCTTATTAACTTCTTATTCCTAAGAAAGTAGCTTGGGCCTGTTCACAGGTTGTTATCTGCATATGGCAAGTACACATGTTATTTTGAAAGTCAAGTAAATTGCTGAGCTGTGTCTGGTCATACGAGATTTACATGAGATCGGGAGGTGTAATCCAGCCTGATTTAGCCATATGGAATGTGATGTCCATAACTACAGAAAGAGAAGAACAGTTTAGGAAGACAGTAGCCATGTTTGGAAATCAGGGAGGGCTTCCTGTAGCTGTACTTATAGCTTTCTGCAGCAGGATATTAGAGTATCTGCTACCTTATGGATCTGAACAGCCAGCTGGAGTTTTTGGTTTTTCCCCTAAGTCTTTATTAAACTTGAAATAACTGCAGAGCAAATAAAGCAGTACCCAAAGACGACATGCAGTTCCTAAAATTCATGTTGAT